AAAGCTATAACAAAAGCAGTACGATGTTGTGTTGATTACAGAAATATTAATGGTGCTACGCCAAAAGACGAGTATCCTATGCCCATGGCCGATCTATCCATAGATGCAGTAGCAAAACATAAAGTCTTATCTTTTATGGATGGGAATGCCGGGTATAATCAGATAAAGATGGCTCCAGAAGATATACATAAAACAGCTTTTAGGTGTCCCGGTCATGTGGGGGCATATGAATATCTGGTCATGCCATTCGGGCTCAAGAATGCTGGTGCAACCTACCAGAGGGCAATGAATGCCATCTTTCATGATCTGATTGGCCAGAGCATGGAAGTATACATCGATGACATCGTGGTGAAGTCTAAGACAGAAGAGTAGCATCTGGAAGACCTCAGACAAGCATTAACAAGGATGAGGATCCACAAATTAAAGATGAATCCAAAGACGTGCGCGTTTGGAGTAAGAGCGGGCAACTTCTTGGGATTCCTAGTGCATCAAAGAGGTGTAGAAGTGGACAAGAACAAGTCTCGGGCGATAATGGAGTCACATTCACCCACCAACAAGGTACAACTCCAGAGGCTACTGGGCAAAATTAATTTCTTGACGAGATTCATTGCCAATTTAGCTGGCAAGATCCAGCCGCTGACTCCTTTATTAAGATTGAAAGATACAGAAAACTTCGAGTGGGGACCACCACACCAACAAGCTTTTGACAGCATCAAGGCCTATTTGACTTCTCCACCAGTGTTGGTACCACCTCAAAGGGGAAAACCCTTAAAGCTGTATATTTCTGCCTCAGAGAAGTCAATCGGGAGTTTGCTAGCCTAGAATAATGAAGGCGGGAAGGAGCAGGCAGTGTACTACCTCAGTAGGATTCTGACCGAGGTAGAAACAAGATATTCCCCAGTGGAGAGATTATGCTTAGCTCTATATTTCACTGTCAGTAAGCTAAGGCATTACATGTTACCTTGTCACGTGCACATCATTGCCAAGACAGATGTGATAAAGTACATGTTGTCAAAGCCAATGCTAATAGGGAGAATTGGGAAGTGGATTCTAGCATTATCAGAGTTCAGTTTTCAGTATGTACCCCAGAGGGCAGTCAAAGGCCAAGCAATTGCTGACTTCCTGGCCAAGCATCAAGAATCTCAAGACGAGGTCATCAATATCCCAGGAAGCCTGGAGGTCACTAGCATTTGGATCCCGCCGAGAAAAGATATCTCGGGCAAAAAAGATTGGGTCCAGCAAGAGATAAGAAGAGTGACTGGTCTCTGGATCACTCCTTGGAAGTTGTATTTTGATGGATCTCACACTCATAAGGCTTCAGGAGCAGGGATTGTGATTGTGAACCCTCAAGGGGTTTATCATTATTATTCATTCCTCCTGGACTACCAAGGAAATACTAACAATCGGGCAGAGTATGAGGCTTTAATAATTGGTCTGGAAATCTTATTGGATCTGAGGGCAGTAGACGTGGAGATCTTTGGAGATTCAGAGTTAGTAATAAACCAGCTAAATGGGGAGTTCAAGTGCAGACATATTACCATGGCAGGATATTACTTGGCGGCTACGCAATTACTGAGTTTCTAGGATTCTGAGATATCAGCCAATCATGTTCCCAGGGGATCCAACTTAGCGGCCAACGAGATGGCACAACTAGCCTCAGGAGTGCCAATACAGGAGAGAAGATATTGGGTAGATGTCGAGATCCAAAGAAGGAACCTCCCTTCTATCTTAGAAAGGGGATTCAGTTTGGATATAATGGTTCTAGAGACCGAAATAGAAAATTGGAGGTCACCTATCATTCATCATTTGAAGGATCCCTCTTCACCTACAAGCAAGAAGAATAGACAGCAAGCAACCAAGTATGTCTTGTGGGCGAAGAACTTGCTAAGGAAAACTCCATATGGGTTACTATTAAAATGCTTGGGCCAAGAAGAATCCATGAGGGTAATGGCCGAAGTACATGAAGGAGTATGTGGAGCACACCAGGTGGGAACAAAGATGAGATGGTTGCTTAGAAGGTATGGTTATTTCTGGCCTGACATGGAAAAAGATTGCAAGTCTTATGCCAAAGGTTGCGAAGAATGTCAACGGCACGGACCTCTCCAGCATGTGCCCTCGGTACCTTTAAATCCAGTAGTTAAGCCTTGGCCCTTCAGAGGATGGGCGATGGACTTCATCGGGCAAATCTATCCAGCTTCTAGTAAAGGGCATACTTTCATAATTGTGGCAACGGATTATTTCACCAAGTGGGTGGAAGCATCAGCAGTAAAATCCATAACTTCAGCCGCAGTCAAGAATTTTATCGAGACCAAGATTCTGCACAGATATGGGGTGCCCGAAACTATAGTGACGGATCGTGAACCATCTTTTATCTCAAAAGAGGTTGAGGAGTTTGCAAGCAAGTACAAAATAAAGATGATCCAGTCCAGTCCATACTACTCTCAATCAAATGGCCAGGCAGAGGCCAGCAACAAGATCCTGGTCAACATTATCAAAAGAATGGTGATAGATAGTCCAGAAAAGTGGCATGAGAAGCTGGGGAACACTTTGTGGGCATACAGAACTTCCAAAAGGGCAGGAACAGGGACAACTCCCTATGATTTGACTTTCGGGCAAGATGCGGTGCTCCCCATGGAGACCAATGTAAGTTCTGTCAGAATTCAAAATCAATTTGGGTTACACAGTGAAGAGTACATTGAAGCCATGTGTCAAGGAATTGAAGACTTGAATGTAGCCCGAATTGAAGCTTTGAACCAGATTTAGGAAGGAAAGAAGGCCGTTGCCCGAGCTTATAACAAAAAGGTAAAAATGAAGTCTTTCAAGGAAGGAGATTTAGTCTGGAAGACAGTCCTCCCTTTAGGAGCTCAGCTCAGGGGCTTTGGAAAATGGAGTCCGACGTGGGAAGGTCATTTCATTGTTAGTCGTGTTTTGGATAGGGGAGGATACTACTTGGCGGACCTTGAAGGAAGCAGGCAGAAACATCCCATTAATGTTAAATTCTTAAAGAAATATTGTCCTACGTTGTGGGATGTCAGAGATTGTTATATTGAGGAGGATGCTAGGTAAAGCAAGCTTCGGGCTATCAATGTGCAGTGTATATTTATAAAACATTCAAGAGGACAGAAAGACAAGAGTTGCTAAAGTAATGTATGTTTCATTTTGACGAATTGGCAAAATTTACAACGGATTCAAGGCCGATGTATTACAATCAATTCTCTTTCTGGATGCAATGATACCTTCAGCTGGTTTTCCGGTGTCTTCATGGATGGAACCCGATCAGGTGATCGGGTTGTGCAGCCAAGACACGCCTGGTAGAGGACCCTCAATCAGGGCCATCACTATATGTGATGGTGAAGCCCGATTTATTACGGCAGCAAGCAGGAGAGCAAGCTTTCGTGAAGAAACCGTCTGACCAAGGGTGTTGGAGATAGCGAGATGTGCGACCAAAGGTGTTGGAGATGGCGATTATCTGATGAAAACTCTTTTTCTCACGGAAATGGAATTTTAGGAAACTCCACTTAAAATATGAGGAGCTCATTTCACAGTTTTGGGAGGAAACTCAGAAAGAGGAAACACTTGGGGGGAAGGAAAGTTGAGTTCGAGGATGATTTGTTGAGAAAGCTAACATTTATAAAGAATATCAAAGAGTAGTTCAAAGGTCATGGGAAGATCAAGAGACTCCAGGTGCCATTAATTTCATCCAGAAGATACAAGTTCCAAGGGCAAGGATGCAGCCGCATGAAGCTTTTCAATCAATATTGACGCCTGGGATTCCAGGCTAAATATCAATTGAATGGGGCACTGTTTGGATCAAAACTTAAACTTTGGACTCAAGAAAAAGGCTGGCCCAAAAGGATTCCTGAAGGAAGAGTCGGTCGAAGCCCAGCAAATTGGCCGAAGCCCAGCCGAAACCCAGAAAAGCAGGAAAGGGCTTTTCTGACTTGGTGCAGTTCATGAAGGTCACTTGCTCACCTACCCAAAGGCCAAGTGGTATAGACTGACCAGCTATACAGCCTATAAAGTACTTTAGAATGGCAGAACAAGTAAAATAGCTGATGAGTCACTGCCTCTCAAGTTGCATTCGGGCAAAGTTGCTGCTACAGGAGGCCAAGCTGGGTTGTCTATAAAAGAAGAAAGAGAAATCAGGAATAAGGACATTCAATCAAACAAACAAATGCAAGCACAAACTCTGCTCAAAGCCAGATTTGCCTTCAAAACGAAGCTGTAGTCAGCCCAAGCCTTCATCCCCTTCGGAACAAGCCTTCACTCAAACCTTTGTAATAGCTCTGCTACCTTGTTCAAACTTGCTGTAGTATCGATTTCTCTTTGTAAACCCCTATCTTTACCCCCTTCTAAAGCTCTCAGAACCTTGATAAGCCACAAAGATAGGAACCAGTAAAACGATCAAGCTTGCCCGACAAGGTTAAACCTTGCCCGACCTTCTTTGTTTTGTCTTTTCATTCATTAGCCTAGCAATATGTTGCGTACTTCCAGTTGTATTCAAGTTATTTCTAGTAAAATGACTATTAAAAGAACCTCTCAGTGCTTAGACCCGATTTGAATATATCTTCATGGTTCAAATCAGATCTAAGTTCTAAGCCTTTGGGCATGTATATCTGATCAGTTAAAAGTCTTTGGCCTCAAGACATAAAAAAGAACCTTATGTGGACTTAACCCATCCACGATAGTCCTTGATAAACAAGAAGTCCAAAGTTACTTGGGGCGCAAGTAATCAACCTACCCTTTAGTTTTTTTTCTATGATATTATGATTATCATAGAACGCTTATGCATGGAATGGATTCTAATAGGAAGCATCAAGGCCTACACCTAAGGCCACCGAAGGCACCTATTTGGGTTCATTCCGTTCCGCGGTCTAGAACGTTTGAGTATAAAGAACGAATTCTGATAGGAAGCCTCAAGACCTACACCTAAGGCCTCACAAAGGCACCTATTTGGGTTCGTTCTATCTCTCGAATACGGGTAATCAGAAGTATAATAGTTATAAGACTCCTGCAATCAATGGAACAAATATTATGTATTCGAGCACTGATTTAGTTATCGATGGGAAGCCTCAAGGCCTACACCTAAGGCCCCACAAAGGCACCTGTCATAACTAACGCAGTTTCTCGGGCACATATATATACATACAACTAAAACTCGACATCCATTTCACATCTGCCATGCTAAAGATGGCAGTGGCACGCCTGAGTACTTAGAGGTTAATCTTGATTGTGAGCCTCAAGGCCTATACCTAAGGCCCCACAAAGGCACCTTTCAAAGTTAAAGCTGTCATTCTCTTCCAGCCTTGCCCGACAAAGCCCCACCACGAAGCAGAAGCCCGACAGCAGCCTTCAACCGGCGCCAAACCTCCAGGGGAGCTGTGCATCTTGCCGACCAAGAAACGTCCCCGATGGAAATTCCCGACACGAACAGATGATGCAACTGCAATCCGCGTACGAGCTATTTTAGTTCTGGAATTGGTGCTGATGCGCTGCCCTCGGCCCGGCAACTTATCAATATGCCTGATCCCCTTGTAGCACTGAATGTCTATCATTCTCTTGATGTCTCCCTCGACAACAATTGCCTGAAAAAACCCGAAAACTCAAACCTGTTAGCGATGCGAGTAGCACTCAAAGAGTGGTAGAGAAAGAGAGAGTTACTTATACCAACTCCCTCCCAACTAAGTACTTGGAGATTTCCTCGCCAATGGCAGCAACTTCTCTTCGGGTCAAGTCCTCGGCAAGTTTGTTGGTCATGTTTAGCTCGGATATGATTAGACCCGCCCTGGCCTTGCCAATCCCAGTATGTACTGAAGCGCATACTTGAGGAGCTTCTTGTCTGGAATCTCCATTCCTGCTCTTATATTCAGGCATTGCATGAAACTGCAAGTAACACCGGAAGCTAAAAGAAGATCATTAAGCCATCACATAAATCTTTAACTTTCCAAATTCAAATGCTAGTATGTCTGTATGTGGGGAATACGATTATTTTTCCCGTAGTTGCAGGGTTTTGGGATCTTAATTAAAATTTACAATGAAAAAAGCAATTTAAAGTTTAGTCAGTGCCGGACAAATTTCGGAAGAGAATTGTGGAGAGTGAGTGGCTTGTCAACTGGGTGTATTGTGCCGGCCAACCAGTTTCTCACATCCCACCAAGATTTATTCTGCATTGGAAGAAAACCCAAATATTGAACCGACCTATTAAGTTCCAATCAAGAAAAAGGCTAGCGAGTTTTGTCGGTCTCGCAAAATATTAAACCGACCTATTTTCTTGGTTATCATTGTTGCGATCATTTTGTTCGAATTGGAAAAGTGACAACCCCTATGGCTATATAGCCTATGGGGTTGAGATTATGTTTAACAAGATTGCAAACCTACAAATTTGATATGGGTTGGGTTTGTTGAAAAATTTGGGAATTAATCTTGATAACTCTCTACTCATCTCGTATGCTTGGTAACCAAGAAAGTTTTCCCTTTCCAATTGGGAGCTTCACTCTTTTTAATTTCTCACACACTGCTCTTAATCTTTTGTCATTAAATTGAATAAATTAACGAAGATGATGAACATAATTTAACATTTGTATGTAAAAAGAGAAAAAAATGTAAATTTATTATTTTCATGAACTAATAAATAGTAGCATGGGAATGATGTGATTGATAATTACAAGAGAGACGTCTACGATCGTCATGATATCCCCAAAAAGTTAGACTAGTTATACAATTATATTTGTATTATCTCAATGGACTATTTAATTACGCTTAGAAATTGAAACTGAACATAACAAATTGGTGAGTATAACAACGAATCTGGACTACTAAGTAAGACATTGTCCGAAAAATGATGATACAACGGGTATATTTATAAATATCAAACTTGTTTGGCTTTTTAGTCAAAATGATTTCTGAGATTTGCATAACTCCTCACTTTGGTCTCTGAGATTTCAAATCAATAGAAGTGGTCCCTGAGATTGTCTACCATCCATCATTTTGGTCATTCCGTTAAAAACTCGTTAAGTGTCCCGGAGCTCTTAACATGAAGTTTGGGCAATTTTCAAAGCTTCGTAACTCAATTGTTTCTTAACCAAATTCGACTCATAATATATCAAAATGAAGATAAGAAAGTGTAGAATAAAATTAGACCTATTTGGAAGGCCAATGGTTGCCGGAGATGGTCGGAAAATAGCCTCAAAGTTGGCTGGTCCGAGGGAAAACTCACCGGAAACTGGGTAAACTTTAAATGTTCATAACTTCTTCAATACTCAACGAAATCAAGTGATTCAAAAACGAAAATCATACTTCTCGACGAGACGAAGAGAATTGTACCTTTTCAGCGGCTAACTCGACGTGGTTTGGCTGGAAAACGGCTCGAAAATGGCTGTCTTGGTCTCAAGTTAGCCACTTTCGAGCCGTTTTCCGGCCAAACCATGGCGAGTTAGCTGTAAAAAAAGATACCATTCTCTTCGTCTCGTTGAGAAGTATGATTTTCGTTTTTTAATCACTTGATTTCGTTGAGTATTGAAGAAGTTATGAACGTTTAAAGTTTACCCCGTTTTCGGCGAGTTTTTCCTGTTTTCCCTCGGACCAGTCAACTTTGAGGCTATTTTCCGACCATCTTCGGCAACCATTGGCCTTCCAAATAGGTATAATCTTATTCTACACTTTCCTATCTTCATTTTGATATATTATGGGTTGAATTTGGTTAAGAAACGATTGAGTTACGAAGCTTTGAAAATTGCCCAAACTTCCAGCCAAAAGCTTCGGGACACTTAACGGAATTTTTAACGGAATGACCAAAATGATGGACGATGGACAATCTCAAGGATCACTTCTATTGATATGAAATCTTAGGGACCAAAGTGAGGAGTTATGCAAATCTTAGAGACCATTTTGGTTAAAAAGCCAACTTGTTTCTATGAAAGTCGAACTTAAGGCCTCACACTTACAGTTGGAAAGGAATACAACTACACCGCCATGTGTGGATGCAAAATCGAAAATTTTATATGTGATCATAAGAACAACTGATAAACCAATATAGGTGTTACAAATCCAACTATTCTAAGTCTAGGGTTTTTATAATGATATTATTATTATGTTTTTATAATGATATTATTATTATGTTGTACATTAATCGAGCGTAGATTCTCATTCGAATGTGTTATTCAAATTTAAAGTTCCACAACATAAACATTTCAAAAAACGACCTTTTAAGAATTATTTGCATGAGAGAGTAGCAATAAATTCCTCAATGTTCTTATCAGAGCTTCCTCCTTCATCCATGGCCTCCTTAGCCAGTTCTCTCCATCTCATTAAATTCCTCTTAATCTCCTTCCCTCTCTCTCCTTCAATCACTTCTGCTATACATCTTTCTATTTCTTCTTTAGTGACAATTCCCATTTGGTCAACCTTGACCCTTACTCCTACTTTCCATTCATCTTCTACAAACTTGGCATTAGTCGTTTGGTCTGTCCACTGTGGCATTGCCACCATGGGGACTCCAGAGCTCAATGCCTCGAGCGTTGAGTTCCAACCGCAATGTGTCATGAAGCAACCGAGGGCCCTGTGACCCAAAACTTCTAATTGAGGACACCAATTTACAACCAAACCCTTCTCTGATGTTTGCTCTTCAAAATTGCTTGGAAGCTTCTGAGTTTCGGATTCTCTAACTACCCACAAGAAGTTAGCGTTGCTCCCTTTTAATCCCAATGCTATTTCCTCCATTTGTTTTTCTCCTAAATTTGCCATGCTTCCAAATGATACATATACGACTGTGCCTGTTTCTTTTGATTCTAGCCACTTCTTGCAAGCTTCAGTGTTGGAGTTGAAAATGCTGAAGCCATAATCTTTGTCATCTTCTAATCTCTTGTCTAGGTACATTGATGGAAGGGTTGGTCCTATTGTCTTGATCGGCCATCGCGTTCTCATCCAGTTCACCACCTGATAACATGCAAATCAAACTATTTGTACCACATTGACTGACTATATGTCTCACGGATGGATACAAACTTATCTAGGGCCTCACTTCGATAAGGGGCATGGGGCAATCTGTGTCCTCAAATTTTATGGCTATCGTTGCCTATATAGGGGCTTGGGGCGATTGTAACTGAAGCTAACATGTGAATAAAGATCTAACATATGTAAAACAATAGAAGACTGGTTGGTTTCTGGCCTGAGTTCAATCATACCTAGGTCATATATAAGGTCCCTTGGACCCTTTCATATAATATATATCCTATTCCCTCTCTAAAACTCAATAATGCCCAAGAAAACTATTTACAGTATATGTTTTGCAAAGCGTAGAGGCCTCTACTTTTCAATTATTGGGGAAAAGAAAATTTATGGTCAGTTTCAAGAGTACTAAATGCAAATTGGGAATTGCCACAAGGGTTGATCCCCATAAGCTATGAAGTATATGATACACATGAATTGCTTAAATCCTTTCAAAAGTGGAAAAGTTATCAATTTTTAGGGTTAGGGCTAGATATATTGAACGTAATTAAACTGAATTAGAGACGAAATTGAACATTCAAGCAAAACTACAGGAACCAATAGTGGATTTTACCAAGAATGTGGATATACCTCTTTTTCCAGCCCATGGAATGTGTTGAAGAAGATCCAATCAGCGCCACTGATATTTGAAAACCTACTAACCACCAAGTTCAAGAAGGACGGATATGACCCGGGATCATAGATGAAAGAAGGCAGATCTTGTGGCTCAAGTAAGGGCAACCCAGGTAATGATATTGTAGGCTCTTTCAGAGGAACCCTAAGCAACCCTTCATGCACATTATAGTACACAGCTCCAACAGCACAAGAGTGAGTGAAAAATGAAGCCCCAAAAATTCCTAGCCCTTTGGCTGTGTCTAAAACCCAAGGCATGGCTGAGTCATAGACAAGACAGATGATTGGGTAGCCATCATTCTCTTGCTTCAGTATCAGCTGTGGCAATCTCCGTGACAAAATGGTTTGGAACCACAGAACCTTGTTCTCCACATTATTGCCGGCTTCTTCTTCTTCTTCAGATGTTGCATGAATTGGCTCAATCTTGACCTTACACAATTGAGTTTCAATGGCTTCAGTGTTGGATGAGATTGTGACAAGTGTCACTCTTAAACCTTTGGATGCTAAGCGTTTTGAGAATTGGAGCATTGGGTTTATGTGGCCTTGGACAGGAAGAGGAACCACAAGTATGTGGATTCTATTGGCTCTTTCTTTTTCTTTCTCCATTTTCTTTGTACAGACTACTCTGCCTTTATTTGCTGCTGTTGTTTTTATAGATATGAAAACTAAATGGGATGGCCTTCTTATTCCAATTATTCACTTACAAAGAAACTCAGCCAATAATAACGTTCACATAATACCACAAGCAATACACGAACACCTTTCTGGTTACCGTGACCAAAAACTCCAACAAAAACCAATCTTTATAAAGTCCAGATTCCAGACCAAACGCTATATGTTACCTATAAAGTGAAAATGTGATAAGAACAGAGTTCAATCAACTACAAACCATAAGTTTAGCTACAAAGTTTTGACAGCTTGCTTTAATCAACCACAAGAATTTTACTATTAAGTTTTAATATTCGTAATAAGAGGTAGGTATCTGACGCAATGTTTTATACATGAAACATCACTGAAAGATGGGAACTCACAAGGATGATGAATACCACCAAGGGAAAAGAAGCTATAAATGCTTATCTTCAGGAATGGTCTTGATACGATGCACAATGCAACGATTACTTTAAGCAAAGCAATGAAATATGACAGCAGAACAAAAGTCCAAATCCAAAAAAAATAATTGGAGAAATGGTTTCTCAACTCTTTACCAGAAACTTGGTTATAAGAGCTTCCTAGCACCCACGCAATGACTTGTAACTAACCAGCTTGATAAATTCATTATAATGATTAACACGGAAAGTAATATCAGCCTCGGATCAAGGAAAATGCAACAATAGCAGCTCAAATATGCACCCTAAGATGAGATTATCAAACAACCACCGAAAGCCAAATACAACACGGGAAGGAAAGACCGAAAGACGCCGATCCAAACTCTAGCATAACCCTCCACAGAATTCAATTCAGTGACAATGACAAATGCATTTGATTCACACTAAAAAAAGAAAATGAATGCTGCATATTACTGGCAAGTTGCAATACATTACCTACACGGAGACATCCCCTAATTGCTTTGATAGAAGATGAACAGTACAGAAGCAATAGAAAACTGCTACTCACACGGATTAAACATATATCAAATCCTAAAATCCAAATTAAAAATAAAAAAAACCTAATAATTGGGAAACTTTAGTGCAATTTTCGAAATCAAAACCTAATTGGTAAGGAGCTTAAAATTAAAGTAACTTCGAATTTGCATATATTATGAATTTAAAATTTCAAAAGAAGAACAGAGAGATGCAGAATTAAAATTTAGACAGAGCGATTTATTCTAAGAGGGATAAAATCATAAAAAGAGTAAATCGCTGAAAAAGAGTAGTCGCCAAATTCTCACCGGCGAAATTGGAAGGGAGAAGCGTTAAGCGAATCATGTTTTCTCACCGGTGAACTTCCTGAGTTGACGGAACCCAAATTTGAGGGATGATCGGTCAGAGGAAAATGATGGGAGTATGGATGGGATAGCATGTCATGTGTGGCCCGCGTGATGGTTTTTTTTTTTCTTTTCAAAATACTGATGGTTATCCGTAATTGTAAATATTGTTTTGTTTTTTTTGTTTTTACTTGAAGGTTGTGGCCCACGTAATTATTTTTATTTTGTATGCATGATAATGAAGAACTTTGTGTTTCACCGTAAAATCATTTAATAATATGAAAAATAACTTAATTATATATATGTATTCATATGTAAAAAAAAAAATCCGATGTGGAAACACGCTTTTTGGTGTGGTAAATTTTCAAATCTAAACAACATAAATCAGGTGACATGGAACATGTGTGGCCGTTGGGCTTCATACATTTGACAATTTGCTCCGATATAATGAAGAAGTTAAGATTTCATCATAAAACTAATTGACAATGTGAATAGTAACTCAAGTACTTATAAACACATGCAAAGTCCTTTATTTTCTCGATGTGTGATCTATACTCTCATTTACACTCAAATATAAAATAATAAATTAGTATCAAACTCGTCATTTACAAAATTAATATTCAATTACTTATAGGCACACACAACCACCACATCCTTCAAGTAGATGGTCTCTCTTCTCTTGCATCACCAACAAAAAAAAAAATCATGCATGCACCATGCAGTTGCAGAAGGAAAGTGTGGTAGAAGAAATAGTAGAATTTATTCAGAAAGGATTGGACATATTACATACTTCACTATTCACTAGTATAATTATATATTGATCATACAACGCTAGAAATCTCAGAGTGAGTTGACTATAAGTTTGAAGTCATCATAGCTAACTCCCCCATCCCCATCTATATCAATTGAAGCAATAATCCCCTGGCAATCCTCAAGTGTCAGCTCAAACCCCAAGTCATCTCCCATAACCTCATAAAGCTCTTCTGCAGTCACAACCTCATCCCCATCGACCTCCAACGCTTCAAAAGCATTCTTAAGAACATTTTCAAGCCCTCCGAATTCCATGTTCTTCGTGTTCATCTCCAAAAACTCCTCGATGCTTAGGAAACCGTCGTTGTTCGTGTCCCCTTGCTGCATCATTGCCCTCACATCTTCTTCACTAGGGTTGTACCCAAGTGACCCTAAAATCCCACCAAGCTCTGCAGCAGTAATTTTCCCATCATTGTCTGAATCAAAAGCTCTGAATGTTTCTACTAGGCCGAGGACTTGGCTCAGTGTCTCAGTTTCTGCTGAGAGAAAGCTGGGCTGAGCCATGCAAATAGGTTGATCAAGTGGTGTTTTTTGAACTTGTATTTAGCTTTTGTAATTTTTTTGGCACATCCCCAACTATATATATAAGATATAACTAGCTAAGGCAAAAGGGGATTCCCATGATTTTTATTAGGGTTTTGTTGATATAAAGTTGGAAAGAAACAAAAGGTAAGAGTAGATTCTTATGCTTGTGAATTATTTAGTGTTATCGCATTTTGTTACGATAAGATTATTCTGGCTGAGTGCTCAAGGAATGATCTTGGACAAGTTGCTTTCTTTGATTCTGCAAAAGTGATTCCCACTAAACACCATTGCTGCGAGAAAAAAAATAAATAAAAACTATATGAATGTTCATTCGTTAGACAATTTATTTTTTAGATTGTAAACATTTTAGTACTTTTTTAAGAATCAGAATAAAAGTGTTTCTTACATAAGTGTTCCAAAAGGATAATGTTAGGTAGACCAAAATTTTAAATTAAATTTACAAACCAAATGATGTCACTAATAGGAAATACGCACGTTAATCAACATTTAAGTAATAATCTAATTATTAATAATCACATCATTTTTTTTACAAAATTTAGTTTAAAAGTTTGGTGGCCCTAACATTACCCTTCCAAAATAATCGGAAATATCCCACGAAGCCAACCAACCAGCGGAAATGCTATATCCATCCGTCATTAATTTTACAATCATTTGGCTGGGTATAACCAAATTTCTGTGGTAGGGATGGCAACGGTTCGGTTTTGGGGACGGAAATGCTATATCCATCCCCATAACCATGAAAATTAACCATATTCATAACCGCAAATTAACTGTCGGGTATAATCCATAACCATACCCACCGGGTAATGGATTCTCCATCGGTTAACGAGTATATCCATTTTCGTCAATACAAAAAATATATTCGTTCAATTGAGACATTATAAGTTAGTAGATATTAATTTTGTTATTAAACATTTGATGTATAAAATGATCCAATGAATGGATCTTATTGAGTATAAAAATTAAAACACTGATCATGTTGGCTTGTCTTTGATATCTCCCATAAGCACCATTGAGTTCGCATTGATTTTAATTCAAAACTTTACTTTCCTACTAAAGACAGCTATTGTATTCTCAAGGTAATGGTTCAGAGAATAGTGGATATACAAATGCGCACACACACACACACACACATGCATACATATATATACTATATTATTATATTATATATAATTATATTGTTTACTATTCGGGTCGGATTCTGTTACGGATACGGTTTGGGGACCCCTATAACCATATCCAAAACCATAACCGAATAATATAAACAGTTTTTCCCCATATCCAAAATATACCCAAACTTCTATACCCAAATTTGTTCCATTTGGACAGTTATCTACGATTTTCTAGTTTAACGGTTAGAATTGTCATCCCTATTATGTGGGCTTGTATGCTTTCCCATCATCTGCTGGAGACCATTGGGTTTATTTGTTTCATATTCTGATATGGCCTGGGGTTGATGGAGGATAATTAACAGGGATGAAGCCCATGCATGTTTCACCACGCCCACGAAATTGTAATTTGCATAGTTGGAACTAGATTTTTATTTTATTTTTAACAAGTGATATTATTTATACTAAGGGAGAGAGGGTGGGATTAGCCTCGTAATGGGCTAGCAATAATGTGGTTCAAATTCGCTTTTGGCGAGAATCGAACTTAAGACGTCTCACTTATAAATTTTAGACCATAATACTAAGTGGCAAGTTGGAACTAGAATTAGAAATAAATATTTGACAAAAAACAAGAGGGTGTCTACACTTGGCAATCAAGAAAACATTCAAACTGCTTATAATAATGTTTGACAAAAACGTTAAAAACACTTAACACTTGGAAGCGCTTTATGGAGAAGTACATGCACATCCAAGCTAATGTTTTGCCAAAGCACTTGGAATTTACTAAAAATTTCGAGAGTAAATTGTAGCAATAATCCCTTAACTTTAACTCAATTGGAGCAATGGTCTCTCAACTAAAAATCCAATATCATTGGTTCCTTAACTCATCAAAACGTGTAGCTATGGTCCCTCAACTAAAAATTCATTACCATTGGTTCCTCAACTTTAATCCAACTAAAGAAATGTCCCTCAACTTTAACTCAATTGGAGCAATAGTTCCTCAAATTTTAACCTAATTGTAGCAATGGTCATTCCGAAATAACTAATTTTGACAAAACTTTGACGAAAATGACCATAGCTACAAGTTTTGATTAGTTAAGGGACCCCAATTGTAGCAATAGTCCTTCCAACATAACTTATTTTGACAAAATTCTGACAAAGTTGACGAAAATGACCATAGCTACACATTTTAATGAGTTGAGGGACCAATGATAATGGATTTTTAGTTGATGGACCATTGCTTCAATTTAATTAAAGTTGAGAGATCTTTGCTACCATTTACTCAAATTTCGATGTGTTCTTAATAAACACACTCTTAGCACAAGTCAATGTTTATTCAAAGACAACAAATAATTTAGGCATGTGATATCTACACACCCCTTTTTACTTCTCTCACACCCTTTTAATTTTCGGCCGTCGGATTGGATGAATTGAAGAAAATTAAAGGACGGAAATTAATAAAGGATGCGGAAGAAGTAAAAAGGGGTGTGTGGATAGCACATCCCATAATTTAGTGCTTATTTAAATGGACAGAATCCAATAATTATACAAAAGAAATAAAATTAAAAAACTGAATGTAGGAACTATTTGATAATCATTTTGTTTTTAGTTTTTATTTTTCATTTTTTTTAAATAAAAAATTTGTTTAGACTATTTTCAACTTTTAGTTAAAAAGATGAAAACTAAAAGCTCATTGATTGTTTGATAACTCTCTCTTTCTCTCCATCTCTTTTCCAAATCTACTCTCATATAACATGTAAAAAATCCATAAACATTTATTTCAGTTAGATTACTTGCGTAATTTGTGATGAAAAAGAATCAAACACACACTAAATAAATCCACCCACGCATTACTTTTACTAATCGAGTTGTCAACATGCAGTTACAAGCAAACATCCCTGATCTTTGAACAACATCATACAATTTAACTTTTCTAAGTCATTTGTACGATTTTTGTGTTGTGAGGTTGTTAGTTTGGACTTTGGAAGACTTGATTGATGATTTTAGTTCAACTTTAAATGTTTATTTTCATTGTCTTTGATTCTAGTTAGAATGCTTATCAGCAGGGTCAAACGTACTCTAGATTTGATGGACTTGTTTTGACCCTCAAATTCTTCAGTCGGCCTTATACTCTGGCGGAAACAAGAAAACCCTCCAGCCCAGTTCAAGAATAAGCCTGTGGAAAGTTACTTCTTCAAAAGCAAAAGTATCTCATATCACCTTTTCTCATTTTCTTCTCTTTATCCTTCATGCTACCTACAAGATAAGGAGAAGGATAACAATCAGCCGGAACTCGAAATCAAACTTCTGATCTGGGACTGATTGCTTGGAGCTCTGATTGCTTACCTTGTCTGTCATCTCTTTCAGCAGATCCCCTAGCTCGGCGACTTGGGGGACTCCTACTACATGGTTTGTATCGCGTTTGACCAAGCCTGAAACTACAAGTAAGCGTCAAGTGAAATTGATACATTACCTTGTGCATCTCCACCAGTTAAAGATACCACCCCTGAAGGGAGGAAGAGTACTTCCAAAGAAGATGCCACATCTACCTATGAGACAGATAAGGCAAGTGAAGACGATACCACCCTTCGGTACTTAAAAGTTTCGTGATTACGAGATCATTCTTCCATAATATTTCCTAATGTCATTTGTACTAAATCATTCACTTGTACTCACTAAAGGAGAGCTTGAACCTATATACTGTGTAAACCCTTCACAATTAATGAGAACTCCTTTACTCCGTGGACGTAGCCAATCTGGGTGAACCACGTACATCTTGTGTTTGCTTCCTGTCTCTATCCATTTACATACTTATCCACACTAATGACCGGAGCAATCTAGCGAAGATCACAAACTTAATATTTAAGATGATATTCTTTGGTGTATGCTTTTCAAAAACGATATAGTGTTGATAGATGAAACGCAGGAAGGGGTAAACAGGAAGCTTAACCTTTGGAGAGAAGTGTTGGAACCTAAAGGTCCTCGCCTAAGCCGATCAAAGACAGAATATATGGAGTGCAAGTTCAGTGCAAACGGAGGCCAAAATGAGTTAAGGGTGAGGATCGGAGATCAGGAAATACCAAAGAGCGACCGTTTTAGCTACCTAGGATCTATCTTGCAAAAGAACGGAGAATTTGATGGAGATCTCACCCATAGAATACAAGCTGGATGGATGAAGTGGAAGAGTGCATCCGGCGTGATGTGTGACCGTCGTAGGCCACTGAAGCTCAAGGGAAAATTTTATAGGACGGCAATAAGGCCGGCAATGCTGTATGGCATAGAATGTTGGGCGGTGAAGCATCAACACGTAGGTGTAGTGGAGATGAGGATGCTTCGTTGGATGTGTGGGCACACGAGAAAGGATAAGATTAGGAATGAGGATATCCGAGGTAAAGTAGGAGTAGCCGAAATTGAAGGAAAGAGGAGAGAAAATCGGTTACGGTGGTTTGGACATGTGCAAAGAAGGCCTACTGACGCTCCGGTTCGAAGATGTGACCACGGGACAGAGGTTCAGGGCCGAAGGGGTAAAGGAAGACCTAGGAAAACTTTGGAAGAGACCCTAAGAAAAGACTTAGAGTACTTGGATCTAACGGAGGACATGATACAAAACCGAGCGCAATGGCGTTCTAGGATTCATATAGCCGACCCCACTTAGTGGGAAAATGCTTTGTTGTTGTTGTTGTTGTTGTTGTTGGAGATGTTAAAATTTAAAATTTCAATGTTTTTCATTTTTTGAAAAAAAAAATAACCGAAACCGAACCGAACCGAAATTTCGGTTTGGTTTTGATTTTGGCAAAAAACCGAACCGATTTGAACCAAACCCACCCCTAGTATTAATACCTTTCTAAGTCTCAAAAACAAATAAAACCTCGACGATCACGTTGAGGAAATAGGGTACTCCGCCGGAGCT